TTTATCCCCTGGCTTTCTTCACAGCGGGGACCAAGGGAACTTGCATCGTTTCTCCTCAGCTCCGTTTTCTCCTCACAACAACCCTGTGAGGTAGGTTGCCCTGAAAGTACATGACTGGCCCAACGTCACCCAGTGAGCTTCCACAGCAAGAAGAGGATTCGGACCTGAGTCTCTGAGACCGTAATCTGGAGCTCTAACCAGGACACTGTTCTGGCTTTCACAGGGCGGCAGCTGTTGGGACAGGCTTCTGCAGCCAGTCCAGGGTGAATCATGCCGGTCAGGTCGGTGCCATCAAGATACCCAGTGGTTGCTGCCAGGGGCCCAGGGTTGCCAGCTTCCAGCTGGGACCTGGAGATCTCCCAGAATTACGACGGAACTCTTTTTTATCTATTTAATTAGTTCAATTTATATCCTGCACTCCCCACCAAGGCAGGTGCAGGGCGGCTTACATTTAAGAGTTAAAATACACCGAAACACAAATTATAAACATCATAAAAATCACATACAACAACAAAATAAAGTGCCATAGCCTCCGGCTCATACAGTTTTGTCCTGGCTCAGGGAGGATGGGTCCAGAGCAAAGTATTTTATGCAGGGGCCAAATTGCTCGCTCACAGTAGCTCGCAAAGTAGAATTTTTGCTCACAAGTTTCCACAGCTTAGAGGGAAGATTGGCGGCGGTGTGCTATTGCGTAAAAATCCCCGTAGGCTGTGGTGGAGTGGTCACAAAAGAGTCCAGAGGGCCATAGATCAGTTCCCCCGGACAAGATGGCTGTTTCGGAAGGCTTATTCTGCGGCATCATAAATCCTAAACTGCTGTCTGGTAGTAGATCGGCTAAGAGTGAACAAACTGAAATTAGGACTCGCAAGAATGGGTTTAAATTAAGGGTGGGAAGGTACTGACTGGATCTGAGGGAAAACCTCTTGACAGTCAGAGTTGTGCAAGAGTGGAATCGGCTGCCCGGGGAGGCGGTGAGCTCCCCCTCCCTGCCCGTCTTCAAGCAGCGGCTGGGCTGGACAGACCCTTGCCAGGGATGCTCTAGGTCAGGGGTGTCAAACTCACTAGTTCTGAGGGCCGGATCTGACATTCTCTAGAGCACCAGCACTTTGTTTGTGATTGATTGTTTTATTCTGTTTTTAGTTGTTGAATTGTGGCATATGCCTCTTCTGTTAGCCGCCCTGAGCCCGTTTGGGGAGGGCGGGATATAAATTTAATAAATAAATGAGACCTTGTTGGGCCGGGCCATGTGTGTCATAAAACGTAATGCCAGGTAGCGGAGATATCAACTTTATAAAGGACACAAACACAAAGGGTGTGTTTTTTTAAACTTAAAACATGCTTAAAACTTTCGCGCACTTGCAATATTTTGTTTAGTTAACAGTGTCTGATGACTGACACCTCTTGCTCTGAATCATTGCACCAAAATGTCTGTGCGTTGCCATCTCGAGTATGCTGTTCAGGTGTGTATCTGTCAGCTGCAAACCTACGATGATGCAGTAGTAGCATAGAATGTCGGAGTCGGAAGGGACCTTGCAGGTCATCTAGTCCAACCCCCCTGCACTCTGCAAAAGCGTAGTCGAAAGATAGCCCTACAGCATACCCCGAAGAACTGGAAGAAGGAGAAGCAGAAGACTGCCAGTTCCACTGTGGGCCTGATAGAAGCCGGGGGGGGGGGGGCGATGCCCCTGGGCTGCATGTTTGACACCCCTGCTATAGGCTGATTCTGTATTGAGCAGGGGGGGGTGGACTAGAGGGCTTTAACACAACTGGCCCCCCCCCCCCCCTTTCACAGGTTTGCCAGGGAGGCCTCTGTGGCCCGGTTCCCACCCGAGGTCCCTCCCCTGGCCTCAAACGGGCCCTTCCCCAGAATTTGCCGGGAGCCGGCGACCCCGTGGCCACCCTGGCCGAGAATCGATGTTGCAAGAGACGCTCCCACTCAGCTGGAAGCAGAGCAGAGTCGCCGTCGAACCCAAAGCGCCGCTCGCCCCCCTCCCTCTCTTTGGAGGGGGAAGCCCCTCCTGCAGCCCGGCCGGCACAGCCACTACCTCCTATATAGGAGGTAGTGGCACAGCCCCCTCCCCCACGAGCGA